GAGACAGGCCGCATACAAAGGGCTGAGAGAGACGAGTCATCGTTCACATAAAATAACAGGACCTTTTAATAAAAATTAGTACTTCTTCTTGAACGTTAACCTACCAGGCACGAGTAACCGCACAAATTAGTAAGCGTAACGCAAATAAGCCTGTTTCTCTTGTTCCCCGAAAGCGAAATATTTCCTGTTGCGCACACCAAGCAAGTCAGTGCAAGACGGACGACATGGCCACCGGCTGCTAGAACATCCGCTGCTGGCGTTAGTGGAGGGAAATGGTGGGCCTGCGCGTGAGGCGCGTGAGGGAAACGAATGCAGCACGATGATAGTTATCAGTCGTTAGCGGACGTCGTAGTTCGTTAATAATTACGTATAACAGGATATTGTAAAAATTAAGTTACGAAATTTTTATTAAACGTTCCTTACACACTGTTATATTGGCTCAACCGCAAAAACATTCGTTGTGGGCGCATGCGGCCTGAGGGCCGCGAGTTTGACACACGTGCTCTAAGATGAGATCCCTGGGGCTGGGGTGGCCTGACACCCAGTGGCAAGGCCCTTGTGTGAGAAGACACACTAGACAGACAGACTGACGGGGCCTCAAGCAGGGACGCCCACATCCAGAGCTGGAAGGTGCCTGGGACTGGCCTGCTCCGAGCGCGAGGGAACGGCCCTGAGAGGCGCCCCACCCGGCCAGGTGTGACCGCAGCCCCAGGAGCCCAGCGCCCGCCCCCCCGCCTCCATTCCCTCCCCGACCAGAAGGGAAACAAGGGACTCGTCGAACAGGCAGGAGAGCAGAGAGGAGAGTGAGGGGCAGGCAGGGGGCAGAGTGGGGAGTCTGCACGCACCTCCGACCCAGTTATTTTGTAAATTAAAAAACTGAAGTTCAGAGAGGTGACATGACTTATTAAAGTCACACAGCTATAAAGCCCTCTGGTTCACATTATAAGGCAAGTTGAAATTGGTAACAGTGAATTCAATTACTGATTCAAGAAAAAAAAAAGGGTAGAAGCTATGCAGCAGGAGAGGCCCCACGACCCAGGCGCCTTCGGGCAGGGCCTGAGCCACAGGACACACGAAGGGACACAGCCCACGGGAGAGACGGACAAGCACCGGAGAGCGAGCACAGACGGACCCTGGACCCGGGTGCAGGGCCGGAGCTGGGAGACCAGCCACAGACAAAGGACGCAGTTGGGACAGTGTGCGGCCGCCGAGGGGCTGAGCAGAAACAACAAAGTGTGAGCATGAACCCCCGAGCAGAGCGTCGGAGGCCCGTCTCCACCTCTCACCTCAGCAGAGGGAAGCGGGAGGAGGAGGAAGAAACAGAAAGGTGGGTGGGCTTCACCTCACTCGTTACAAAGACACAGCTGGCTCCCAGAACCCCGGCTCCCAGAACCCCGGCTCCCAGAACCCCGCCGCGGCCACCAACAGACGCTCCAGCAGGCCGCGCGGCAAAGGTTCGGATGCCACCAGCGCTGAGGCCTCCGCGGGAGACAGAAATGAGGG